TGTGCTCGGGGTACTTATAATATTTCAATTCAAAATTTCTGATTAACATGATTGAAATTATGAATTTGTAACCAAGTTCATCACCACTATATATTATTCGTTCAGAAATGTAACCTGGTTAACGGACCCCGACTGATATGAGATTCGTGAACGACAAAGAATTGCCTGCATAAAGGTAATTTTTGAATTGGTTCACACTTCTGAATATCGACTATTTTCATCTCTTGTGTTGGACAATATTCCGTAAGATCGTGACCGTTGTACATATTGACGTATTGAAAATGAATTTCATTTTGTTCCCCACACAAAACAAATATTTATACGCATATTTTTTATTCATCACACCTGACTAATTTCAGCACGATACGTAAATTTGAGGCTTTAAATGTTTATGTACCAGGCAAAACAAAATTGTTCATCATATGTTGCTTGATTAATTTCGGTCATTCAAACTTTCTTAAATATTCAAGTCATCCAAGAATAATCCGACGGTAATACATGAAGTCAGAGGTGGGAAAATTGCATGTTACATTCTCTAAAAAAATGTGATTTAAAAAATATTTACACATCACTACCCGAAATCCCTATCAATTTCTAGTTGGAAAATATTTGCAGATGTAAATAATTACGGCTAGGATGATATGTATGTATCACCAATTCAACGGATGCACAATATACATATTCCTAATCTCAGGAGAACTTGCGAGGTTGTCTCTAACAGATTTCGATGCCCTTTGGATATATGATATGGTAGGGTCCCAGGAGTGTACTGATACCCTAAAATGGTTTCACTCCATTGACGCCTGCCACACCCACTTATAAATATGCGCCAAAAACACTAACATCACCATCTTTAAACGCTAGTCAAAAAATCCAAATTTGACGGGAATTTCAAAATTTTGCACCATTATACATACTCCCAGATAGTTGTTTTATAGTATCTCACTTCAAAATATATATTTTTTTAGTATTTTCGAAAATTTCCTGCCCTCGAAAAACTCAAAATTTTTAAGAAGGAGTTTAATACTGGATATGATAAGTCAACTATCATACTGCAATATTTTCAAAATCCCATAAGAATGGATTTTTGGCAATGGTTTAATCGAGTAAAAACAGGGGTTTTCGTGTTATTGGCGCCTTTAATATTAGTTTCATGAATGTTTAAAATTAGTTTGATGAAAACAGTAATTTTTTACGAACTAAACGATAACGATTCCATGTGTACCTTTACAATATTCCAGTAAATATACTTTGCTCGTTCATATGTATAAAATCTTGAATATTGTTTAAAAAATCAGGAAAAAGTTTAACAAATTCCAGAAAATCGTGATTAAATTGTTGATAGACATACATATGCTTAAATTGAGAGAAATTGTGGAGAACCAAGCACTTAAAAATTCAGATCAATACGTATTGAAAATTCGTATACGAACCGCTTAAAATTGTCAAAATTCGTACACAGATATGATAAGTTGTGCTTACGAAATTAAGTATCACGCAAGGATCTTAACCGGCACACAATTGCATGTACGATTAAATAAAGACGGTTTATTTTGTTTATATGTGCAATTATACACTCCTGTCAAAATAAGAATGTACGAGTATATGCACATACAGATGTACCATAATTTGTGTAATAATTTGTTCTTATAGGGCACAATACCTCTGTGCCAGAATAAGCTTACATTGTTTAGCCTTGTTTCCATTTAATTGGATTGTCAGGCAGGTTACCTCCAACAGCATCGTGGGAAATGATAGAGGACAAATGTTGAATCGAAAACTTAATGCTATACATGTATGTAAAATACATAATTAAAGATCCTAAATTACATATTTTCGCTCTTGTGACGATGTTGTGCATGTAAATTTTTCAAAACATAACTATGTGGAATTATATTTTGTACGAAAAATTCATGTACTCTGAGCTTCTTGATCTTATTAATACATAAAGAAATATCAATAACTCATATCAATATATGCACTTATGTATATCATATCCACAACAACTTGAAATTCAATAAATAAAGGAGAACCCTTATCCTCATCAAACATGTATAAGACGGTGTCCATTCTAAATAGGTAAGCTTCGGCAGCTGGATTTTTTATTTTCGAATTTCCATCAAAAATAGGTCATATGGCATGAAGTTAGTGTAACAGAAGAAAAATTTTGAAATGACTTGCCGTCCTCTATGGCCATTACGGTGTATTTTGGAAGGTGTTCGTAGTACAACAATTTTTTCGTCAGTTTGTGAGTTAGGAAGCTGAAATTTAAGATTGTACACGGTCGTGAGTGTCCCAAGGCGGGACTTTTTCGTTTTAACGTCTAATGTCGAAAATGACCTTAAAACCGGTCACTTTTCGCCATCTAAATTTTCCCATCTAAGTACAAGGTCAAGTCTCACAACCCCATAAATCTGGTATCGTTAGAAAGGTCTCGGCGGGAAGACTAAGAATATATAAATATACTTTTTTGGGTTTGGGATCACTCCCTTTAAACTAGAAATTAGAAATCTTTTTGCAAAACATTTTTCAATTTTTTCAAGTCACTAGATTTTCCCGCTGATGCCGGTATGTTCTACTCATGTTATAACCCATTGTCAGTAATGCCATTGTACATAGATATTTGTGCAAAATTTCAAGTAACTTACAATGCAGGCTCAAACCATGTTCAGCCCATATTATTTATTGACCATGTTAGTTTGGAAGAGCAAGCCTTTAGAAACAACATTTGGTTCACCACTTGCGCAGATGCGCAAAATTCACCAAGTTATGGGTGCCACAAGTTCGCAAAAAGTGGTCGAGAGTGAGCTCGCGCTGGACCTTGCATCAAAAATCAAGCGTTTTTGCGAACTTGTGGCGCCAATAACGTGCTGAATTTTGCGCATCTGCGCAAGTGGTGAACCAAATGTTGTTCTAGAGACTTGCTCTTCCACACTAACATGGTCAAAAAATAATCTGGGCTGAACATGGTTTGCGCCTCCATTGTTAGTTCATTAATGTGAAAATTAAGCGATAAAACTTTATCGCCTATCATTTTGCTCTTGACTCTATTTGATAAAGGTGCAAGTTTCTCGTACGGTAATGTTTCTTATTCCCAATATCGTGGTAGTTCATTACATGTGTATCAAATTGTTCAGAAAATGGAGATTACTATCGCTAAACTTAACAAGTTTATCAGAAAGAAAGCAATGGTGAAAAGAGCCTTGACTGAGATACATTAGAAAAAATTTTTCAAGGCAGTATAAGTTATCATATTGTCGTTGATATTTGCATATTTCTGATTGGAAAAGTGTGAAATTAAATGCTAAAAACTTACTTAATCACCCTTGCTTAATCAATTTCAATTCGTGTATCTGAAGAGTTTTCGTATGTAATCAGCAATAGCTGCAAGAAATATGTTCACCCTAAGCTATGTAATTCGTTATAGTCGCGCACATTACCAGTGTGTTTCAACAGACTAAATTTATCACTGTTACTTTAATTTAAATGAAATTCGAGACAGAGTCAAAGTTATATAAATTACATACTGCCATAAACCTGAGTAACAAAATTAGATTATCGCAAACTCAAAAAAGGAATAAACGACAGATGCAGACAATTGTGTTAAAAGGGCTTAAAAGACTTGAAGCAGTTCTCCAGAGTGAATTGATATATCAACCTTTAATTATTTAGTACAATGGATGACATTATTCTTCCTCCTCCAAGTAAATTTCCTCTCCCAAAGCTGGAAAATTGCCAAAAAAATTTGGAATTATTCTCTTCCTTGGTCCGCTCTCGTAAGTACTTCGTCAAATTTATTACGGATAGTGTAGAGCATCTAATTGATTAGGTGCATTACGTGTCAACTACAGGTGTTACCACGGCTCATATATTTCCGAAAATTGTTCAGTGAAAATTTTCAGGGAGATGTGTAGCTCTATAGATGACCTAGATTTGTTCCAGAGTTTGTGCGGGATGAAATCACCTCCCATGATCCTGAGGATAATATAATGGCTATATTTTCAATCCAGTGCCAGTTATCAGAATTTTTACAAATATTTTTATAATTGAAGTCTTGCATTTTTTAAGTAAGGGGAAGGATTTAAAAATGCGTTCCCCGTCCTTCCCTTCCCTTGAATTTTTGAATAAACATTACAAAAATGAATACAAATTTTTGAATTGTAACCAATTTTGATTTTAAAATAGTAAAAAAGATTAAGGCTTCACATTTTTAATTAATAAATCATGATGATATGCTGGCACAACTGCATCTCGTTCACTTTTTCGTATCCATAGGCAGCATATGTAACCATGCTAACAGGCCTCTCCCTCTCTTTTTCCACTATCGCGCATCGCTGACCCAGTGGGTACCTTTCCTATGCTGTGGGCGAAATTATACACGCCTTTACCAGAAACTTCGAAGGATGTCATCCAAGCGAAGGGAGATATCCACCACATACCTAACATATAGGCTATTCTACTCGTGCTATGGCTAAGCATAAATCCAATCCTACTTCTATACTTTAGCATCTCCCAATTTACAGTATTGTGTAATCTCCGTGAAATTTGTACAATGCCAGTGACAAACTTTCCTTTATAGCGGATGTTTGAGTATCTTTCACATATCTATAAATACACCTATGTAATCTGTATTACCCAAACAGAGGAATAAATAAATCCAAACGGGGCGCACCCACTTTACAAAAAAAATGTATACCATGCGCATGGTATACATCCCATCCCATAGCCATGGGATGAATGAGCAATAATTTTTCTTTTAGTGCAGTTTTTAGTTATTCTTTAAAACAATAGTGGGGCCGAATGGCGGCGAAGATTGTCAACTTCTATGTATATCGTCGTACAGAAAGAGGTTTTCAAATTAAGATCTGTTCTCTTTTCCCACACGAGGGAGTGTAATTGACGAATTTTATGGTGTGTTAAATTTTGAGACAATTGTCATAAAAATTTGTTTGTCTTGACTCTGATACGATTTCAAGAATGTTATGATATATGCGCAATAATTATGTAAATACATTGTAAAAATTGCTCTATTAAGATTCTATGTGTATGTTTATAAAAGTTTGTCTAGGTAAATATACCCAGTTGTGGGTAGGCGAGAGTGCATAATATTTATAATATGTAAATTATATTGTAAAATGAGACGATTGGGTGGCCGAAAAAGACCAGCATTTAGAAAAGGCCGTGTGACCCAGGTGGAGAATGAAACCTTGAGTAAGAATTATTCGATTCAACAATACTAAATTCTAAATTGTAAAATCAAAATAAAAAATGTTCAGACTTTCGAACTTTACAATTTTTTACCAAGTTTCAAAATTCAAAAATCGAGAAACTACCAAAAAGCGGTGGAGGTATTTGGATAAAGATTACAACAAAAAAGATTTTAAATACCCCTTCAAAATTACATAAAACTCTTGTAATTTCAACTTCGTTAATATTCTCCCAAATAAAGAGGTTATTGTACGCTCTAAAATCACGTGGCATTGAACGTTGGCTAAATCCAGAAAAAACTATAAATTTTGCAAACCTTGCGTATCACCAGATTTATATAAGTAGAACTAATTAATATTAATTCGTAGGAATTTTGTTTAGAAAAGTTCGACGAGAGATAATTAGTATAAAAATTTATAGAAAAATTGGAATAATTAGACCCTGAATTGGTTCACTGATTACTTAAAAGCTATTTTTAAGATATTTTAAGATGGATAACCTAGGTGGAAATAGAAGATCAGAGATTACTTGTTGTTTCAGGAACTCGACAATTTTACTATTGATACTTCTGAAATAATGTTTTTGACGAAGGGTGGTCCACAAATTAGGGCGGAGCTGATGGAAGTGATCACGTGCGTGTGTTGGGGGGGGATATTTTGCATTCCGCTGAAAACTACCAGAAGAACGAGGGGGACTGATGGGTTTAAGCGTTCATTGTAATCTGTGACACCAAACAAATAGTTAGCATTACATGCGAAACATTTTTCTTATCGAATTGCGTGCTATTAAAACCGACATAATTTGCAGTTTAAAATAATTAGTACTTGTAATTGTACTAGTAAAAACCCGAACAATTACAAACACACTACTTGAAAATGTTGCCAAAATAATTTCACTCATTTGAACCCAAGCTTTTCAAAGTTATGCAGACTAAAAATGCATTTTTAATACTGCTTAATGTAACATTATTTAACATTATTTTTTAATTACAAGTTTTTTGATTTATATATTTCAGGGAAAATTATAACTCAGGCGTCGTTCCTAAATTGTGTGAAGCGTGAAGGGTCAGGGGGCCTAAGGGCCTACTGAATTCGTGCTATGTGAAATGTGTTAAAGGGAAGAGCGGGGTAAAAAATATCGCAATTTTTTGCGGTACATAATTTATGCTGGGTCCCTAGAGTATAACGATTTAGTACTAAAAATATGCAAGAGAATAACAGCTCTTGCTTTTATGATTCCTTTCAAGCAAGAATAAATATGGGACAAATTTTCTTACCTGGAGGAAAAGTTGCAGTAAATTTTGTGAGCGTGGAATTTGAAGGGATATAGTTGCAGCAATCATGGAACTGGAACATAGTGGATTCCCTGTAATGGAAAACTCACTTTTTAAAATTTTTAATCGTAAAAACATTCACTGAAGTAAATCGTCAAAACTGAATTCTTTTGTTATTATACGAGACCAGTGATTTTAAGTAATTTGTAAGAATTTAAGCCAAATTTTTGAATTTATTCGAAATCGGAAAACTTTAAATTGGAATCAGTTAAGGTTTTAAGTCCAGTTCAACAGAGGTATGCATGTATTTACAGTAAAGAATAATAGTTAAAAATTATGTAAATTACTGTTCATTTAATCCAAGATATGTACATAAACTAGTCAGAATTTGATTAAATGTGTACTCACCGTATTTGTAACTTTGGGAATTTCGGCTCGAATTTTGCAAAAATTGTTTAATTTTCTACTTATTTTCTTTTCTGCGTAACTTTACAGCACTATAAAATAATTTGTATTTTACACGTATTATAATTTGCCCTGGTGAAATTGAAATTTAACTTTAACCAATTTTCTTCTTTAATAAAGAGAGGATGGAATCGGAATGAGAAAGAAATGGACATGAGTTAGCATTATTATCTAAATGGAGAACGGCGTGGTCCTTCGCGAAGGACCACGACAAAGAGAAAGGGTCCTTTCTTGCGGTCTATCCCTTCTGAGAAATGTGGGATAAATTTAACCCAGTTGAACTGCCCGACGGGAGTGTAAAATATTTAACAATCGAGGTTAAAAATTCCACGTGGAGCCGGGTGCAATGCAAAGGGTCGTTTACTTGCATACACTTAGAAATAGGGTTACGAGTATTACCAAAGGATAGCGTATGTGACTCTATCGCCGTGTTGATGAATTTGTCACCAACTGGTTACAAATTTATTAGCTTTGGTGACAATATAATACCAAGTCGGTGAAACTTCATGATTCGTCGGTGACAATTGTAACCACATGATGGCAAATTTATAACCACGGCGGTTGAGTCACATATGTATACTTTTTGGTTATAATCGCAACCCCATTTCTAAGAGTGTACTAAATATTCACTACTTTTTATCTTAAATCAAATGCACCAAAAATAAATGCACCCTGCATTCTAAATCAAGTAAACTACACAAAATGCAGAGCAGCGTTAACTCGATGAAGAATAACGTTTCCTTTGAATTTAGTACATTTATGATTCCCAATTTAGAATTTAGAGTGCACTCACTCACTTCTCAAAAAGGTCGGCTTTATTAAGAGAATATCTGCCTCATAGATTGTACATGCAAATCATGAAATGGAAATGTATTTAAATCGTAAAATAGAAAATGTCACTGAAATTTCCATTTGTGTATTGTGCCTTATTTCATTTCATTTAGCGTTTCAAATATTTTGAACAGTCCCTTACACATCTGACAACAAATATTTGTGCAGGACAAACTGTTCAAGCGACACATTGTTTACGCATTTGTGGAAACGGGAACTAATCGGCCTCGCCATGAAGGAGGGTAATTTTTACCCTCCTCCTTCAAACCGTTTCAGTAAACAAAATTATTAACCAAATATATGAATAAAATTATGTTGCCCGGAAGTGTGGCACTTAAGAATAACACAACTCATTGATCCTAGAGTTAACTAGCTGCGTTAATTAAAGTCAAGGAGACGGTCTGATTGATGCAAAAATCTTGAATCACTAACGGTGTTCCTCTATCTATGAAGTTCGATCCAAACTTGACCTTCAGCAAGGAACAAGCTCTAAGCTGCCTTCTTATCAACTTCTGCCCTCGCAAGCCTACAACCTTGTTTTTCATCCCTTGAAGTGCTGTTTCCGACGCAATATTGATTCCAGACGCGAGAGTATAAACAAGGAAATTGTTTATCCCAGCATTCCAACCAATTAGAGGAAATACCAAAAATCCTGGCATTTGTATATCGTTGTGATGATTGATGCAAACGTACTGCACAATTACTTGAACTCCAGGGGCACAAGCCAACAATGCTGGCATCATTCTATACATGAGGAAGTCGTTGAATGATTTCTCCAAAACTTGTAGGCATTTGTAGAGGCGAATACAAGCATCCACATCATCACTTTGTTGTATCCTTGAGATTTCACTAGGTACAAGATTAATCAATAATAGAGCTAAACCTTTAATGTAAGACCATAAGAACCTGACCTGTATAGGATTCGAAAATAAGTTAGGAAGCAGACCGTGCCGACAAATAGGACATAGATGACCCAGGTGCCACCAGATAGGGTCATATGCCACTGCATCCACGACTCAAAGAGTCTTATCCCGAATTGGACGACGTAGCCACTAGCGCCAGGTTCCTTACAATTGGCACGCATTGACAGGAGGAAAGGGGGTGTGCATGGGACAAATAACAAGAGAAGGAGTTGAAATACTGGAACTATTGAAAGTGAGATTATCGCCAATGGAATAACGACCCTCATGAATTTTGTTACCAGGGAAGTGGGTGGGCTTGGATGACCTGTAAAACAATCAACAAATAGGCAAAGTCGTCGAATTTATTTTACAATGCAAATTGGACCTCTCAGTATTTGTTTTTCAAAATTGATAAAGGCATTGATAATTTGTCCCGGTGATGGATCCAGAGAGTAGTTCCATCGCATGGCTGTTACCAGTATGTCCATGATTAAAAATAACGATTCTTGGAATTTTTCTATTAAAGTTAATCCACCAAAGAACACATGCAGAAATGTTGCGAAAGTGTAGAGAAGTGAAAGTATACTCTGCCATTTGAACATGCGAATATGTTGAACATTTCGTGTTCTAATAATAATCCCCAACTTTTCGTTATATTCGAATGGGATGCATTTTAGGAATTTGCATACTCGCAAATGTAGCTTGAGAAGTGGAAAGTAGTCTGTGTGGTACATGGTCAAAGTGTAACTCAAGCTGGCACGTTGGGGCAAAATTTCTCCTTGTCTAAATATGTCTAAGAATAGGTCACATCCACCTCACGCCTTCAATTATCTTGAGTAAATGTTAATTTATATGTAATGTTGATGTTAAATAAGTTAATGTTAGTATATAATCCATTTCATGTAGAAGCTAAATAAATGCTGAAGTTGGCTTAAGGTTCATTTAAAGTTTACGGTAAGGTTGTGATCCTGTAATACAAACACTGTTCCCTCTCGCTGAGTTGTTTTTGAAGTCAAATCAATATTTGTACTTAGGAATTTGGTCATTTAAATTTCGACCTTCATTTTTCCGACATATCTAGATTATGTAGCTTGCGGAAGGGGTTAAGGTCTCACAAAAGTTTGAACAGAATCGGACGACACGAATAAAGTTGTTCGAATTGCAACTTTCAATCGTGTAAAGTTATTAATAAATATGCCATTGCGTAGCAACAAGAAAGGTCTTTACTTTTACGGACTATCCTACATATTTTCACGTCGCAATTTTAGTAAGGCCCAAAATCTTTGGGACGTCTGCCTTTCTTTTTTGGCGAGAGAGGTGAGCAAATGCATTTCGTTGCACTGCACAAATACTTTGTCTCGCTACATCCATGTAACGATTTCAGCACCCGGAAATTGCGAAGTGGAATGTTTCTCATTCCTGCAAAGCAAACAGCAACCCTGCTCGATTGGGGCTTACATACAATAATTTTAACCAGAACAATCCGTCTGCTTGTGTCAATTTTATTAAGTAGCTTCAGCTACTTTATGCGAAGAGTTTGTCCGTCTCTCCGTCTGTCTGTCAGCTGTATAACGGGAGAAAGGATCGAGATCGAGTCCAAATCGGTTTGCGGCATCATACATATGAACCAAGGGGGAGGATCCTATCAACTTTAGGGGCTAATCGGACCACCCCCTAGGCGCCAGGGGGTGTGTTCGGGGCAAAATGAGATTTTTCCAAAAATTGAATGCCATGGATGAAATACAGTGAACTTTTGCGTTCCCTAATTGTACCACACCCTGGAGCTTGAGGGTGTGGTACATCTATATCTATATCTACATCTATAGATGAAATACAGCGAAATAAAATATACGATGTCGTGGGAGTGGTTGGGGTAATGTGAGTCTGAAGCTATCCGTATGTGCGTCTACGACGGTTAATTATTTGCTTTCACCGAATGTAAACCAAATATCAATTAATGTTTGCGTTTTGAATTAAACAACTTACATACCTATATAGATAGCTTACGTGTTCCGAATATAGGACCAACTGAAATGCTTTGACAGTATGTTCCTTTCCTATTTAAAATTCACGTCTTACAAATATTTATTCGTACATATGAGAAGCAAGCAGTATGTAAATTTGAATCCATGTATGAAACACGTGGTGTTACTTTCAAAGAAATTCCTAAGATGGAAAATAGTATAGAAACATTTTGGCCAGCGGCTTATACTTATAAAATGTCCTTACGTTCTAAATTATTTTCCATGTCTATAAACTAACCTAATCAATTGTACATTAGGAAGCGAGCGAGTGACACGACTTGTAAACTCCCGTCGCCACTATCGTGAAATTTATCTTTTAGACGTATGCTAACGTGTGAATTATGTATGTGAGTAAAATCAGAAGGAAGCTCAGAGGAATCAAAATTAAGGATATTTCTTGCTGAGAGGCTTAATGGCTGATTTTATAATAACATGAGGAATTAAAATTCCAATTACTTTACCAATTACTGACATATTTTCAAAACAGCGATTGTCTTGGAAACCCTAGGTCAATAGGCGAAATATATATTGTCGTATTTTTTAAATTCATTAATGGTAATAGCGTTATGTCGTAGGGCGGAATGTCGTTTATTGAAAAGAAGTCCCTGTTATGTATTAAGTGTTTGGCCAACATTGATTGCCGCTACTATATCAAAGAAGCCTTAAAACCATTTGTGAAAAAATATGCACTTTAACTCTAACCAGGGGACGATTATTAATTCCCTCTGGATTCTGCGCCATCGCATGATTCAAATACTCGCAAAACCTGAACGGTTGAAAATATGAAATGTTTTTCCGCCGAACAATAGACTACGTGGTCACCCAATATGACTCCAATAAACTATTTTGTGTGGGGATGCACTATGTCTTAAATAAAAAATAAAAAACCATCGATTTTTGACGGTGTAAAATATACTCTAAAACGGTACTGGAACGATCTATCGCTTGAACTCACTCATAATCATACGGCGGATATGTATGTATTTATAACTTTTTCATATTGAATCAGATCGTACTAAAACCTTGTATGCTGATATCCCATCTAAGCACGATCGTAAAAATTCAAACTTAGTTTTCCATATTTTCCATCTTTTGTATTTTACATATTTTCATACATATTTTGAGGATTTTTCGTACATATACATATTTCGTGCATAATGCGAGTATTTTTCCAAATATTAATATTTGACTAGACATTTCGAAGCTTTTTATGTAAAAATATTTTTCCTCATTCGGAAATTAAAGTTTCCTCAAAATTATATTTCATAAATTCAAGTTTCAATAAAAAATTCAAATTGATAAACGTTTTTAATGTGCATATTTTCTAAGGACATATTACATACATATTTTGCGGAATTTACG